CCCCCCGGGGCCCCCCCCCCCCCACCATTGGCTTGGCTTCCTAGACTCTCACTCAAGGCCCAAGGAAGGAAGAGTGCTTTTGGGAGGATCAAAAGGTTGTGGGCAAGCCAAAAAGGCCAAAGAACGGACAAGTCCTGAGGTGCACCCCCAAGGCTGAGGCGGTTATAAGAAGCGCTGCCCCAATTTGCACGGGGCCAGGAGGCCTGTGGTACTCCTGAGCTAGGGCCTCTGGCCAGAAGCTTCCCAAAGCCCAGGAGGGTGGGTTGAAAGCCAGTGTCCTCTCCCCAAGGAACTCAACCCACTTCCCCACCAATGCCTCTCCTCCGTCACCCAGGCACACTGGGATCCTCCAAAGCAAACTCATGCCAGAGCGGGAAGGATTTGGAGGTCCAGAGGTTGGGGAAATGGCAATTCAGAATAGCCTGCACTGTTTACTACAAAAATGGCCCCCGCACCACAGCCCTCACTCTGAGCATAAGCAGGGGGACAAGGCCCCATCGGCCATGTCCAGTTCCTGTAAATGCAAAGAAAGGTGACAGGGTACCTGTTTCATTCCTCAAAAGGGCCGGGGTGTGGGGGTAATCAGAGATGGGGGTTGACGTGGAGAGAGACACACAATGGAGAAAGCAGAATGCTGCGCAGTGACCCTGGGACCAGAGTGTGACCCTGCTGCTACGGGGTGCACAAGTGAGACCCACCCTGGGCTAAGTAACCTCTCTGGCAGCCCTGAGCGGGTTAAGGACTCTGAGTCCAGCCACCAGGCTGGCTCTTCAGACAGAAGGGAAGAGGACAGACCTCCTGGAGCACCGGTAGCCTAGGAAGCCAGGCCTGGTGTGGGTGAGGTGGGATGTGGCAGGAGCCCAGCCTGAGGCACAGCATGCCCAGAAGACACTGGATGGAGCGGGGGCTGGAGAAGAGACCCAGGCTGTGGGGCTTGATGTGGGCAGCTCATCCGGACCAGGAATGAGGGGAAGGCAAAGAGGTGAGCCCCTCCCTTCTCAACTTTCTTCCAAAAAGAAGTGACAAGGGAAGGGCATTCTTCCACACCAAAGGGTAAAGGGATACAGGACGAGCATGAGGACAGGGTTGGGGGTGTGTGTCTGCAAAAGAACTGAGAAGAAACACTTGAGGAAGTGCAAAGACCAGGGAACCCCCGGCGCCCAGGGAGCTCAGGGCTGCGCGGAGCAGGCTCAGAAGTGGGGAGGAGCACGGGCATCTGTCGCCAGCTTTCTCTGGGGTCAGCTTGAGGGTGGGCTGAGCAGTGCTGAGAAAGGGGCAACAGGGGAACCTGGAAAGAAAAGGGGCGTCCAAGTGGGAGACAGGAGATTCCCATCAGGAAATAAGGGCAGTCACAACGAGACAAAAAGGAGGTTCAGAGCAGGAAACAGGAAAGTTCCCAGAGGACGAGAATGAGGAGCTTCCGAACAGGCGCCAGAGTCCCACCTCTGGGCCCCAGGGCTCGGGCCTGGCCTCCGAGGAGGCGCGGTGCCGGGGGGCCGGCCGCGGCGGGGCTGGAGCCGAGCCGGGTCTGGCCGGCGGCCCTACCTGGTACACGGAGGCCTTGGGCAGGTCCAGGCAGACCGTGCAGCACAGAACCGAGTAGAGCCGCTCCTCCAGCTTCCCGCTGCCCGCCGCCGCCGCCGCCGCTGCCGCCTCGGCCGTCTCGGCCGCCCGTAGCCGCTTCTTGGGCGGCGCATCGGAGTCGCCCGCCGCCTCCTGCAGCTGCCGGGCGCCGGCCAGGCCCGCCTCGTCTGGGATCCCGGGCCCCGCCGCCTCGCCCAGCGCCGCCGCCGGCCCCGCAGACGCCCCGGCCCCGGCCCCGACCCCGGCCCCGGCCCCGACCCCGGCCGGCACGGCACCGGCAGGCCCCGCGGCCGGGCCGCCCCCGCCGGCCTCCTC